CTAAAGAAATTCGAAAGATATTTGTGAAAATTATTGCGACATTTTCCTCAAAAGTTTTTAATTCCTAAGTTCAAAAAGCAGTCTACCTCATGATAAACGTGGGTCTTCGCGTTCCCTAACAATTCACCACAACATTAATGTATACTTAATATTCGCCGATAGCTCAAACATTTTATGTTTCATTTTATATTATCATTTCATTCAACCAGAAAAAGAATCGGAAAAAACGAAAATAAATTCCACTTGCTTAAAATTTTATTTTATCATAGTTTCTTTTTGTTCGCTTTTGACGAATAATTTTTAATAATTTTATTTACTTCGCATGTTTGTAATTATTATATAAAATATCCTTTGTTTAATGAATAAATTATTACGTTTTTCTTAACACCGAAATTATGAAGACATTAAAAATTAAATTCTCTGTTTTATAAACTCCATTTTCTACCAATATATGAGTTTTTGTGAGGTTGAGTTGTTTATTACTAATGTTAAATTTAACATTTTGTATTGGTCTAATGGATTCTAATCATTCTAGTCATTCTAATTTGTTTATGATGACTAGGGGAACCAAAAATATACAAACGTATATATATTAACTCATACGTCTATGATAAAAGAATGCAGTAGATAGAGATTTGTTTCAGAGAAAACTATGAATTTTGAGTAGTATATGTCAGGCATATTTTTATTTCTTGTATCTATACGAGCATATATTGTATATTGGCGAATTATATAACATTTTTCGAAACAAATGCATATTTTAATATTTTACATGTTTCAATTTGACTTACGTTACCGTAAAGTTAAAATCAGTAAGAAAACTACATCACCGCCAATAGAATTATTTAGTTTTTAATTTGTAATGGATATGATTTATGTTTCACTGACGAACTTCCACTGATATACGTCTATATAAAATGAAGAGCAAAAAATTAATATTGTTTCAAAAAACATACACAGAGTACAAACTACCATCGGAAAGCACTCTTCATACAATACAATGTCATCTTTAGTATTTTGCATCCTAACGAACAGAAATAAATTTTTATTAAATACAGCAACGATAATTAAAGCAAATCTTAGCATTAATACATAGACTTTTAGATGACTCTATTAAGATTTTAGATAAGTCTTTGGAACAACACCAAACTACAGTGGTAAAAGTTCAAACTGCTAATTACCACCGAGACGTAATCTCAAAAGAGAAGATTATCAGGAAATTCTACTACATCTTAACAACAAATTTATACTTGGAGGAGACTTTAATGTAAAACATATCTCTAGGGTTCTCGCTTGATAATTGAAATACAAAAGGAAAAGAACTGAACCATGCAATAGAGGCCCTTAATTGTGAGGTGCTCTCCACTGGGAAGCCAACTTACTGGCCAACAGATAGAAGTAAAATTCCGGACCTGCTTGATTTTTTATTACGAAAAATATATCGCTTAACTTCGTAAACATAGAAGAAGAGTTAGGATCGGACTCAGATTACTCATCAGTAATTATTACTCTAAATAACAAAGTATGTAATAAAGAACCCTTTTTATCACTAACTAATAAACTCACTAATTGGAATCTATTTCAACAAACATTAGATAATAAAATTCATCTTAATGCTCTTATGAAAACAAACGAAGACATTGACAATGAAGTAGAAAAGTTCTTAAAAGACATACAAAACGCAGCCTGGGCATCAACACCAATTTTCATACCAAAACCTAAATCTAATATTTATCCTAAATTCATTAGAGACAAAATTGCAGAAAAACGGAAACCAAGAAAGAAATGGCAAACCAACAGAATTCCTAGTGATAAGACTAAATTAAATAAAATAACAGCCGAATTAAGAGCATTAACAGATAGCCACAAAGATAATATTCAAAATTACTTAAAAGACCTTACTGACGATGCCAGTACTGATTATTCTCTGTGGAAGGCAACAAGAAAGCTTAAAGTTCCAAAAACACATACACCTCCAATTCGAAATAATAATGGAAATTGGGCTAAGAGCAATCAAGAAAAAGTTAATTTGTTTGCTCATCATCTAAAAGAAACGTTTACATCAGACAGTCCAACAACTATACTAAATAGTGCCCCTAGCGTAATTCAAAGTGATCAGCAGAGTAATATACCATGTGTAAGAATGAAAGAACTGTATTATGAAATACAAAAACTAAATATAAAGAAATCAGTAGGCTATGACCTAATTATTGGAGAAACATTAAAACGTCTACCAAAACGGGCGATTACAAAACTATTACAATTAATTAATGCTGCTTTTAAACAGAAATACTTCCCAAGCATATGGAAAGTTGCTGAAATAATAATGATACCAAAACCTGGTAAACCCCCCACAGATGTTACCACCACTACATGAAATACGAGCCAGAGTTCCTCAAGGAAGTGTGCTTGGCCCAACTCTGTACTTACTCTACACATTTGACCTTCCTCAGATACCAGAAACTTTAACAGCTACATTCGCAGATGACACAGCGATCTTGGCTGTTGCAGAAAATGAATATGTTACAATTGGCCTTAAATTCAATAGAAAACTGGACCAAACGATGGCTAATAAAACTAAATACAAATAAATCGACATACATAAAGATTACTTATAAGAAAGTAAACTATGTCCCAGTACACATAAATGGCAATGTAATCCGCAAAATATCTTGGTATGACGCTGGATGCCAAATTCAAATGGAAAGCTCACGTCAAAAAAAAAACGTGAGGAACTTGATATCAAATTTAGACACCTATATTGGCTTTTTAGCAGAAAATCAACGCTATCACTAAGTAACAAGTTGCTAATATACAAGCAAGTATTAAAACCAAAATGGACATACTGAATCCAACTGTGGGGTTGTACCTGCAAGACAAATGCAAGTCGGATTCAAAGATTCCAGAACAAAGTACTAAGGTGCATAGTGAATACACCCTGGTATATAAGAAACACCGACCTCCTTCGCGACTTGAAAGTAGCATCGGTGTCGTCAGAAATTGCATCATTCGCATCTAAACATGAGAATAGTGCAATAGTGCGGAATTATAACAAAAACAATAATACCCTAAACGTGTGTTCCGCGTATCGTGGTGTGCGCGTTTTTGTGTTTTAGTCTTAAAACGGTAAAAATATGACAATATTTATCAATTATGGGTAAACCAGACTGGACTATTTGGAAAAGCTGCAAAACATTATCTAGTATAATTTGATGTTAAAAATAAGTATTTAATTAGTATGTATTTACTAGGTGTTATACAATTGTGCTTTGCATAATATAGAAAAAAAAAAGATAAGTCTTTCAAAAAACACATGATTTTATGATATGTATCAGATGCTCCTCCTTACATGGTAAATGTAGCCCAGACAATACAAACATTTTATCCAAAAGTGACACACTTAACTTGTCTTGTACATGGATTCCATCGAGATTGTGAGCTAATTCCATTTATGTACACTGGTGTCAATCGGCAACTACTCGCTGAGGAACATAGATTGAAGCGGCAAACTATTCCGTGGTCATGAACATTTCAAAGTAAATACAATAAAATCAGACTAGACTTTGATTGCATCAAATTATGGACTTCTCAGTGTATCAATAAAAACATTGTAAACATCTAGACTTCCGCTTCCTATTGATATAGCGATACATCCTCAGGGCATAGTTAACAGCATCGTTTAGTAATAAAAAAAAATATTTAGAGTTATTTTAAAACATTACGGTTATCCATTTTGAAGAAAATAAAGTTATCTAGATGCAATGAATTTGTGATTATTCCGCAAACTAGGTCCCGACATACGACCATTTCATTTCTTGTTTGTATAAACACCAAATTTTTATTAAAACTGTCACATAATAATAAAAAATACTAATATAACTTCATAAATAAAAGTTGATCATTCCTCGAATACGACGATAAAATTTTAGTGAATTCCTGTGAACTTAGATCACTCGTTTATTCCGAGATTATCAAGACATGTTAAAAAAATTAATCCTTCTATGAACGAACATTAAAGAGATTAAAAAGTTAATTTCCTATTAACTGTATTACATCAGTTTAAAAATCAATTAATACACACTTCGCATAGAAAGTTCTCTTGCGAGACTACTTACTAAACGTATTTATTAAACATATATTAATATTTATTAAGAACCATAACATTATTATATGCTTAGTAAACAATTTTAACTCACCTATACACTAAGTATAAATCACCCTGTAGATACATTTAATATTATTACTTCAGCGGTAAAGCAAACATCCTTCTCATTTTCGTTTATCTAATCTTTTTCGCGTTATTTTTATAGGCACTTTATGCGTGACTAAACGTTTAGTTATAGGTATAGATAAGGAGTATCACCTGTCGTTTTGTTTATACGGAAATAAATTACGATATAGTAGCTATTTCCTTTTTGTTTTTCTGGTGATCTTTTTAAACCGTTTTGCCAAAAAGATTTTATTTACCTAATACGATAAAGTTGCTTAAGTATCCTCAACGTTGTAACGATGCGGAGTAACTGAGATACCACCAGCTGTGTTCACTTGCTAAAATCACAGTCAACACAGGGTGGATCCCAGTATCTCGACACCAAATCTCCCTTTACGAAAGTCCAAGGATAAACAAGACCAAGATGAAGAGGAGAATAATGTTTTCGTCGTTTCTAGACGCCGCTTTTTCGCGATTAATACAGGGCAATATCGTTATCATTTGTACAACGTACGTTATCTGCTGTTATCTTGTATTATTTTCCGCTCGACGAATTACAATAAATATTTACCCACTAAACCCGAAAACTATACATATTTAGTTAAAACATCTTTTTTGAAAGTTGTATAGATTCAAGAAAAAGTTTCAATTGTTAACGATTTAAAGTGTGATTTTTAATAATTAACAGGTGATGGACGGCTCAAGTGGCAACATCCCGGAAACACTAATTTTCGCATTTCCGGACTCGAAAAGAAATGCAAATTGCAGTAGAGGAACCCGCTTTACTTACAGTCTGCCAGATTGTTCCGCTGCCGCTTCATCTCCTTCTATCCGGTACACCTTCCCAGACATTACGTATTCGAAGCTATCCGCTCTCGATCCTTCCGTTTCCAATCCGGCGGGGTTCCAATCACTCTGATCTGGATAACCATCTTCTCTTAATGTCGTTGCTAGTACCAATCGAAATTTATCACCTATAAAAATTTAAAAAATAAATAAATTAGTTTTATTTTCTCTCACTTTTAATTATTTAGAATAAGATTAAAAATGTAAAAAATTAATGATTGGTATCAAGTGTGAATGACTTAGAAAATAGTAAATAATTTGAGAGATATTGTTGAAATTAACAAATTATGGTTAATTGAAAATGTAGCCGTTTTATTATAACATTACAGTCGACGACAATAAGGTACCATATAATAGGTAAATTAGTTACCAAACAATAGAGAGATGTTTATCCTTAATATGATCACAGAAAAAATGTGACAAAGGTCGTAATAAAATCTGGTGACCGTGTAAGATAAATTGCGGCCAAGGAAAAACAAAATTTTTGGACAATCACATAAAATCACTAATTAACGAGATAACTTTACCGTTAATTTTTACCGCCAATAAAAGGCGACCTTGCTTTTAAACGTAATGAAAAAAGTACTTTACTACATTTATTAAATTTAAAAATTTTACGTCGTGTTGAAATGTAAACAGTTTGTTTCATTACAAACTAGCTATTCCATTTAGAAGAAGATATATAAGGTATAGTTTTTTGAGTAAAACGAGTTTGAGTTTGGCTATTCAACAGAATATAAGGTAAGCCATAGTTAAAATATACATCAAGAGCATATAATGTTCACGACATTAGCATTTTTTTCACATTTCATTTAAATTTATGTTCGGTTAGATCTTTACAGGTATCGGAGGCAGCAATAAAGAGTTTTATGGCTGCGTACGTGCACATGGTATTCTGTGTCTTATTGAGTAGCTAGAATGCTGGAGTCATCAAAGTAAGTAGTATACAACGATTTGTTGAAGTCGGCTACTCACTACGCGATACTTACCAAATCATTACAAAGTTGCATACTCGGCAAGTTACATGTACTTGCCATAGTGTATCAGTGAAACGACCCGGAATGATTAGCGATGAGTAGATTACTTCGATATATCTACACTTTACTGGAATGAGTACTTTCCGAGATTATTTCATGTCCAATTAGTTGCAGAGTACCGCATTTTAAGTAGCCGGCTTACTATGAATCATTAAATATAAAAGATAACACCGTAGATCAGCTAAAGATATGATGGTAACTTGGTAGTATTCTGATAACTAGTGGTTTGGTTTCTCTCTGTTCATCGCCATTTCATTATTATTAAATCGTTAATTAACTACTGAAATAATTGTCAGTTGCCAAGATTCTAGAATTGTCTGCGTAGTGGGATGTTTTTTCAGAAGTCTCTTATGGAATGTTGCTTGGGTACATTAAGAAGAACTTCAAAATCGAGGAGAACACCTATGGTAACTTTTAAACCAAGTTGTATCAAGTAGGACACATGATGAAATCTAATATAGATTGTTATCTATCTTTACTGTCACAGTGCCATGGTTTCTAAAGAAAAATGTTGCTGTTCGCAAACTTTGTGTTTTAGATTTGTCATCCAATTGTTACTGGTAGCAAAGAACCTTTTCATTATAGCTATTTTACAAACCTTCTTCTTCGTTAGTTACTGAAGATGAAATTGGCGTGTCAAATCGGATTTTTTTCCGAATTGGTTTTTGGGATTAAGTTGTTATTGATGATAATGGAACTATTTAGGCCGAGTAATCTGATATACGTGGATTTAAAGTTACATACCTAGTTTTTACGTTCAGTGTTCATAAAGTATTGTCTATACGTTTATCAGTGAGGCCGATTTTAAAACTTTTAATTTTAGCGACAATTTTGTTAACATTGGTAATGATTAAATGAGAATGTAAAAAGATCTTTGATCGTAGATAGTGTTAATAAAAAAAAGTAGTTGTTGATAGCTTTGTTCGTTGGGACTGCACTAAGCAGTTTAGTGCAGATGTTGTGTGTTCGTTGGGGATAGTGTAGTTTAGTGCAGTTGCACTCATACTGTTCGTTGGGCCATGCGCAGTGCAATTTCGTGCAGCCGGTGCAAGTTAGTGCAGATTTTGTTGCACCTGCTTTCGATTAAGTTTAATAAGTGCAGTGTAATTCAGTGTAACTAAAATGATGGAATATTTGGAAGCGTATTTTGTAATAATTAATATTGATATTAAATAATAAGAAATAAAACCTTATAATAATTAATTTTTGTTGTATCGGAGAACACAGCACATTCAATCCCAGTAGAGGCAGTATAAAAAATTCTACTTCACTGTCAGATGAATCGCTACTAAAAAAATCATTCTGCCATGATTTTATTTTTCGCGACTATTTCGCTGCGACCACGGTTTACACACTTTTCTGGTCTGCACTCAGTTGACAAGACATTGCACTTAATTGCACTATGACATCATACTAGTGCCATGTCGTGCAGAGTAGTACAGTCCCAACAAACAAAATTGATAGAAAAAATAATAGTGCGCCGAATGTTGTTGATTAGAGGGTTAAGTTATTTATTAAGTGTTATGTAAAACAAGTAGAAGATATAAATAAATAATTATTGAGATATAAAAGAACTTTTAAATAATAACCAACAATTAATAAATTTAATAAACCTGGTTAGAGGTAAATACACCAACATATCTTCATATCTCGTCACTCCAACTCCAAAAAGACAAAGCTTTTTTCATGCCAATGCTTAACATGCAATAAACTCTATCCTTATCTACTAAAATGAAATATCTAAGATCATAAAGCAATTCTAGAAGCGTAGAACGATTTTTGGTGGATATAAGATCTATCTTCCATGATATCTCTATGTGTGTACAAGGGCATAATTTGACAAAAAGCTCATTCATGGAGCTGTAAGTTAGTGGTCTAAGACTGTTCTAAGACACTTTGTGGCTCTTAACATTACTATATGGAATATACTATATGGAATATAAACACTCGCGCACCTGCGTTTTAGGTCTGCAATGAAGAACGCCCATCACCGACACAGAAAGTGTTGTGCCTGCCAACTCTCAAGCATGTTCGGACTACGGAGTGTCAATCTCAATTCGTTCTGCTGATATGGAAGTTTAGTTGTAATGGAGCGTTGGACCAGTAAACATCGTGCCTTTGCCGTCAAGAAGTTCTTCAGAAATAACGATTCTGTAGCCCCAACATTCTGTAGCAACTAATTCATTTACAATTTAATGTTCCTCTTTGTAGGCCGATTCCATATCGGAACGCTATTGTTTTGTGGGTTCCAAATCTTTGCAATACAGCTTTCGAAACAACAAGGAGAAGAAAAGGATTCCAGAGGACGGCATGGCTACCTGTAAACATTAAGACTGTGCAAATTGCAACTCAAGATCTAAAGAAGTCTGATAGAACATTATTAGGATTACGATTTCGATAGAATATTAACATTTGCAGAAACAATGTTAAGGAGGTTAAATGAAGATCCTGGAATGATTGTGTTCACCGCAAACGAAACTAACTTCCACTTTAACGGTTCCATTAGCAAACAAAACTTCTATTATTGGGTCCCACATAACCCATAAAAGTATCATAAACCGTTCTTTCACACTCCAAAGGTAATTGTCTCGGCTGCAGCCTGTAAGACAGCTGTGATAGGGTCCTATTTTTTAGGAAAACTATGACCGTTTTCCTTTCAAGAGCTTCACAGACACTTGAAATGCGTCTATGGTCCAGCTAAGAAGATTATTTCCCGGTAGGTTGATCTCACTCCGAAGTAATTTTCCACGGCCGGCACGTTCCCTAAATTTATGCCCTTGTAATTTTTATCTGAGATTACCTCAAGCAAAAGTGTATATTATAGCCCTAAAAATTTTGCAGAACTGCGAGAAAGTATTCAGCGGAAAATGCATGCAATCTAACACCAAACCTGGAGATCAACTTTGAGTGTATTTTGCTTCATAATGCTTTTTCAAATTTTCCACGCATTTTTCCATTCACATCTTGAACTTTCCCTCTTTCTTTTATAAATAAAAATTATAATACAATATCTTGAAATTCATTGAATTATTCCATTTTATCGATCCTTGTTTGCGAATCATAGCTCGAACAGAATATGTTGTTATTAATACTTTCCGCAGATAATCTCAAAAATCTTAAAGAAATTATCAACAATCCTGCATTCTTTAATGACACGCAATATGCAAATGTTATTGACAAAGTGAAAGTTCCACCTAAATGCGTAGTTTGAAGAAGAAATCAGCAAGAATAAATATATGGACTTTGAATCACTTCACGATGATTCAGGTTTGGTTAAATTTTTTGAGTCAATAAACACGGAATCTAACGATAAAAACGATAAATCCAAAGAACTTAAAAGTGAGAAAAAATTGTGACAATATTTTAGTTGGTAATAAAACTAAAGATGTTTTCATTTTTTATATAAGAGGATTTATTAGAGGTTAATGAAAAATTAACGAATTTTCAAATAAAAAGTAATTGACAATCGAATTCTAAAAAGTTTCAAAGTTTTTAAGAGCTTAATAAGTCCTTAGAGAACAAAATTGTAATATCATATAGAAAATAGCCAATTTTAAAACGAAATGAAACTATATATCTTGACTAATTAAGCCTAGGTCGATTGAGGCCGAAACTCAGTGATTAATATTACATCAATCTAAAACTGGTCATCACATTGTGGAGCCTAGGCTGCATGCGGCCTCTCCTTTATCAGGTAAAGTTGTAGATCTTTTGACTAATTAAGCCAAAGTCGCTTGCGACCGAGATCCACTAATTAATATCAAATCAACCTAGAGGAACTGGTTCTGAGCAGTTATTCTTATCGTCAATGAGAATTTTGAGTGTAGCGGATTATTAAAAAAAAATATTTTATATGACATTGAACGAATAAAAAATCATAAAATTTCATAATTTAATGAAAATAAAAATTTTGGTAAAATAAATAGACAAGCATCCTGGAGCTAATGTGAGATCTCGAATATATAAATATATTTATGAGGTGATTACTACGGTAGGAACGAGAGGAATAAATAGAATGTCATTATAGAAACCGTAAGAAAAGCTTAAGATTTATTAGCAGAGTATAAATCATGAAAGTACGTATTTATTTA